TATAATAAAATATGTGCATATCTGAAAGACAATTCAAATATATTTTTTTAATGTCATAATAATATTTCTCTATAATATTTGCTATAGTAGGAAATTTATACAACTAAAAGATTATCGCGCAAGATACAATTTAATTTAATCGACGTTATGTAATATACATAAACAAAAGATTCTAAAATAATAAGATTCTAAAAGATTTCTAAAATAATATAATTTGTGTGTGTGTGTGTGTGTGTGTCTGATTTTTCAGAAAATATTATTATACTAAGGGTCAGCAACTTCTCTTGAGATTACATATTTTTTCATGAATTCAAAGATAACTTTTACTTGTTAAAACTATCAAGGTATCAATAATTTCCAATTAAATATAAAATACAAAATAAAGAAATTTTTTACAAATTAAATTTTCAAAGTACATTTATATGTAAACTCTTATTGTTCAATAGAATTTTAATTAATTGTATTTTATCAAAATTATATAATTCGAGATTTAATCATATCTGTCAGAATTAAAATTCTATATCTGTAACTGGCTATGACGAGAGGTAAAAACAATTTCTCACCGAATAGAAGGGAAAGAAGCGTGTCACTGCGTAAAACGCGAACTGTTGGATTCGTGTCGATGTCGCAATCGTCGAAAGTGCAATCACGACGTATTCGCTTCATAGGGCGGAAGGGAGCAAAGCGGCACGAAGGGATGGGATGAAATGCGCGATGGGGTAAAACTGCGCCTCGGCTGCGATATCACGTCGCTCGCGTTTAAGGGGGTTGAGGGCACGCCCGTTTGCATTCGCGACGAGTATCCCGCACACGATTAAGCACCCTCGCTAAGTGATATTTTATCGTTAGCCGATGTGCCTTACACTAAGTGCGTAAGTACGCAGTATAATCTACCAATGTATATTATTAAAGATCCTGCACTATTTATTTTTCTTGATTTTAAAATTCCCTTTTTTTATTTTATATTTTCTTTTTATTTTTCAGCTTTTGAACTATTTTATCATGATATATGTATACATTTGCTATCAAAACACGCAATGCTATCGATTCCAATTATTGCTAAGTTAGCTAATTCTCGTCATTATAACATATATCGTTTGTGCCAGTAATATTACTGCTAATTAACGTACAATCCTCGTGAGGATTCTGGGAGAGGTTGATGCCCTGGAGCATTGTAAATAGTTTATCTATTTACGATGTTATCGGTCTCCAAATAACACCTGCTTCTCTACGAAAATTATTAATATGTTTTATATGCTTCCTATGACTTATGATTAGCGGCTTGTAAATTTCTCTGTGACTTTAAATTGTTGAGAAATAATAGAAATATATATATTTTATGTTAAGTTTCTTGCAAGTTCTGACAAACAATTCGCATTTTATTATATTTCTCTTAATTTTTAATTATGTATTACGTTATAATTAACTATTAATTTTCTAAAGTTATTCTAATTAATAAAGATTAATAAAGATATTCTAAATAATTCTAACCTACCATTTAATAACAGTGTCATTTCAAAATTTTATTATTAAGTTCTCCCATGGTTTGAGCTAAATAAAGAGTTAAAATTTATATACGTATAAAAGTAGAACGTGGTTTTGAAACGCTTTCCTTATAACTTTTATGTCTGTCAAGTAAACACAAATTTAAAAAAATTTTAAAAGAATAAATACCAACGTAAATAATAAAGAATTTCGATTGTAGTTCACACACATCTATATTAATTTAAAAATATAAAAGATGATCATTTCATGCGCAACAATTTAATACTTGAGAAAATAAATAACACACGCGCAATATGGGAACGACGGCACTTTGATTTGTACGAATGTCAGGAAGGCATCGTAATTTTTTTTCCAAGCGCGGCGGCTATAAATCCTAATTTTTTTATCGGATCATAGATTATCCGGGAATACACACACATACAGCTCTCGCGCGCTTTTAGTAGGTCAGTGTATCATTTTATTCGCGAAAGAGCGTTCGTTCGTAGTAAAACGCAGCTCGTTCGGCAAACGTCCGGACTTTAAGAGAATTTAGAGCTCCGCATCCCCACAAGGAAATGATCCGTTGCCGCGTGGGCGAAGAATAGTTTTGGAAAGCCCATTTTCGTAGCGCTTACTACCGCGGCGATGCCGCGGCTACATTTTACGACAACGCAGAACATCGCACTTGTATACCGTTAAAACTAAAATATCACCGCGCTAAGATAAAACCGTAGCTTCTTCAAACGTCGTTTTTCTTTCGTTCGCGGGATCACAGTCTCCTATCTCCGACCTGTCCGAATGAGCTGCGTTCATCAGTAACTTTGTCCCAAATCCAATAAAAGAGATTTTCACGAAATAGTCAACTAAATATAATATATAAAAATACCGTACATAAAAATCTTTATTTTTATACATATTTTTAAAATTCATAACATTTAAAAATTATGTTTTTATAGGACTTACCCACAACACACATATATGTATACATACACACGTGTGTGCGTAAAAGATAAGCAATTTGTATTGTATTTCATGTTGAAAAATATTGAACAAAAAATTAAATCTCCAGAAATCTTCCTTGATAACCGCATTAAATAAAATGTAATATTGCCATCTAACAAAATTTATGCAGTAGAACCACTTTCGACTATCTCGTCGCGTTATGCAAAATGTCACTTCACGTAACTCGATAATGTCACAACGAAAACAAAATTCGCGGTCGTGCAAGGAACGTTATTTACGACGATGCAGCTGCAATCATGCTGTCAAGGAAATCTGTTTACAGCACTGCCAGTGCTTCCAGATTCACGACTCGACTCTCTTAACTCGCAGCTCTGTAGGTATGAAATTCAATAATAGAGCGTTCGGCATACATTCATCCCCAAAAGCCTGCTTTACACTCGCCATAGTCGCATATCCGTTTTTGGAAAAAAAATGTTTGGAAAGAGAACTCTTGTTTTTCAGTATAACAAGAAAGTTGTAAAAAATTCAAAGTTACACATGAAATAAAAAGTTTACAGACAGTAATAATTCTAATTTTTAATTCTAATTATTTGCTTGTACCTGATCCAAATAAAACTGATTAGAAACTTTAGTTCTTGAAGTTCTTTGAAAGAGGCATACAGATACGTGTATTTTAGTATATTTATTTAGTATATTTATAATAAAAACGTGTATTTTATAATAAATAAGTATTTTTTTAGTTTCTTGTTGGCTAATCGATGGTTAATGACACGCGTTTTATATAATACTGTCGTTACGAAACTTGTGTGCAACCAGTTTGATTTATGGAATAGTTATGTGATAACGCAAGCAATTTCGGAATTAAAATAGATAACAGGAATAAGAAAATCTTTGCCATTTTATTCGCGTGTCATCAAATGTGTGATAGCGAATAAATAACACACGCAATACAAATATGTTCCACGTGGATCATTTTTTACGATTGTAAAAACGAAAGGTGTTTCTCCGAGTTTGAACGGTGATCCAGATTTTATTGGGTTGCTCGATAAATACGATATTTACGAGCATTGAATTGGCTGTCGACCGAAGTAACATATAACGGATGAAACGTGAGGCCGATTTGCGGCTTAACGAAATCCTTGCTCCGTCGAAGTCTGCTCGTATTCGAGGTTTTCGGTTTTACACCACCGACGTGGCGGAACGGTAAACCAATAGGATATACAAGTAATGAAATCGAAAATGCGGAAATCGAGAGGTGGAGTCCGCAAAGTATCGAATTTTTTCTTTGTTTGAAAAAAAATTCATATTCGTAAAAAATTGGAAAAATCAATAAGAATAGTGTAGAGTAAAATATTATAATCTTTGTATCGAAACGTGTCATCTAATATAAAAGAATAGTAACTTTGCGATATCCAAGCTCAAGAATAAAACAGAGACAACTATTCAAGAATATAAAGACTTGTTAACTCATAATTAATTTGATTCTTAAATAACGTAATAAAAAATGCAATAATACTATTTTAATAATAATGATGGATATTTATACCTAAATTGAATTCATTCTCAAAATGAATAGACGGCAGTATTGATAATTTTCATATACATCATAGTATATCTTGTGAGGATCAATACATTTGACATATGTCAATGCAGAAAGCTGGATCGTATAAAATGTCGATAGCATCAAATTGCTCAATGAATTTAATTAACTACTAAATTATTTTCATATAAAATTCTGCTCGTTTCGATACGTTCTACGACGACGCTCAAACAGCATTCGCCGAATATCCATATTAAAACGGATAATGTCACGGTTGCCATTCAACACAGCGTAATATCAATAAAGATCGGACAATACTGTCGCAGTAATAATTGAACGAAATTATTGCAAATTACCATTTTATTCCGCAATTTGGTGCGCGATCGTAACGCGTGACGCAAATGATTCGTGACATTTACTCAACAACAATGCTATTTCATGTGTGAAAAAGACTGACGTAAACTCCAGCAAGAAAAATTAAAATGACATGTGTGATGTAATATTGTACACGCATGATCGTTTTGCGATACATATGCAGTAACGCTTGTCTCTTTATAAGAAATATAAACAGAACATTACAAAACATTTTTCATTTTTTTTCATATTTAGCAAATTTCAAATAATTTTAACTAAATTAATTTTTAATAATTATTATTTCAATTAATTTAATTTATTAAACTAATTCAAAAATCGATAATTTTATATCTTTTGATTCACGTGCAACAAAAATTAGATTAAAACGTAAATTAATAGCGTAAGAGAGTATATTATTATATGACAAAACTATGAAATAATATACTATAAAAGATACGATTTACTTTAAAAAGAGGAAAAACCTTAATATACTCTGCATGTAACCGAGAGATCTACATACTGTATGTATCTGCAACATTATCCATGCTACAGGATAGGGTTCCTTGGATGCTTAGAAATCTATGGCGCCATAGAGATTCACGTCGAGGTTGAACGAGCGCTCCGAGGGCCATCGTTCATAAATATCAATGCGGCTTACCTGTACAGGGGTTCGCCGCTGTCCTCTTTGAACCAGAGCACCATGGAGACGGCGTCATTCGACTCGCGGGGTTGTATGTTACATGGCAGGATTGCCTTCTGACCCGCCACCCCCTGTATCGACTCCATGGGTACTGAAACACACATCAACGACTCGCTCAGAGGAATGTCCATTACGCCGCGAAAGAACGAAGAATAATGAAACGAGGAAGAATCGTCGGATAACAAAGAGTTATGGATTTTTTAGGCGGCCTACAACGATCCCTCGAATCCCTCGAGAGGATGTTTAAAAAGGCCTCTTCTTAGGGATGTGTATCATGCTGACAAGATTTCCGACAAGATATCATAACTCCATATTTTACCAACTTCAAGATTTCAACATGCATGTTTTTTTTGTGTTTTTATTCAAATCTTACGTGATCCCTTTGCTTATGACTATTTGATGTAAATATCAAGGAAATCAACTTTCCTTGTATTTTTTTTTGTGTGTGAAATTTGTATGACATTACTTTTGAATTACACTGATATACCCTATATAATTTAAACATAATATATGATCTTTTATTATGCAATATATTATCATAACATATCATGTGCGTATCTTATATATATA